ATTTACAAAGGATACAGAAACTTTATTCATAACAATAACAAAAACATAATTAACAAGAAAAAGAAGAGCAGCTTCAGAATACATGTTCTTCCTCTCTGTAGTGTTGCATTAAATTCAGGAAGATTCCCAAGGCTATAGAGTTCCCCCAGACTTTATTCTCTTGGTAGGCACTTCTTTTTTCCCCCAAGCTGACAATGTGGGAGTTCCCCCTTTCTGCCCAAGAACCCCAAACTGCTTGGAAGATGGGATGTTATAAAAACAGGATCTGGGTTCTAACCCCTCCCTCCATCTGCAGAGTAACTTGCTACACAGGCACACGCACCTTCAGCAGTTTGCTGCATTTGCTCCCTTATAAGGAAGGCTTTCCAGACACTTGGAAGGAACCACAGCTTATCTCCCTAGCTTCCCTCTCAGGCAGGTCTCTGATTTAAAACCCAGCATGTAGCTCAATTGGCTAAAAAGGTTCCTCTGCACCTCGCCTGTCACCCATCAAAAACATGCCAAGAAACAGGCAGAGAAGAGAAGGCACAGAATTACTGTTTTTCTTCTACAGAAAGGTTCAAAGCTGGTGCCCTGCTCGGTAATTTAGTGCCATGTTCCCCCAGCACTTGTCTTGCTATGTTAAGTTAGTCTCAAACTATACACCTTAAATTTACATTCCATGCTTTTTGACTAGGACAGACATCCAAGAACACCTGTATCTGAATGTTTGGGTACCTGCCAAATCACACTACTCTGCAGGGGGAAAGAGAAACAGATGGGCTGGCAGGCAGAGGAGCCTTGTTACTGGAAAAGAAGCTTGTCTACTAGAAAATCAGAATTACAACACTGAGTAATACTGCATTGTAAGAGACAACTCAGCCATCTTTTCCCCATTTACAATAACAAGAGAAGCATGTTATATAAACACATGCATTGCTATGAATAAAGTGGTTTTCCAGCCTTTGTGCATATGTAATTTTTCCCCATTATTCCTGTTTCTACTGGATGTTTTCCAGCACGACAAACCTTTTTTGAATGGTGATGCCCAAAACTGGACAGTCTATTCAAAAACAATTCTGGCTGGAATGGAATTCTCCTGGTTTATGGACAGTGCTGAGGTTAATGCATCCTAGTACTATATCTCCTTGTTCTGCAAGAGCATCAGGGGGTTTTGTGTCTGTTACAATGGTGTTTGCTTTGCTCAGACCAGCTAACTCCCTGCCCTTTGGTTTTTTGTTACGATGCATTCAGCGCTTGAAAGTTTTTCTCAGTTCTCTGTACTTGACTGTGTGAATTTCCTGTAGCTCATTTTGGATCTAATAATTTCTTTAATACATTGAGCACTGCTGAAAAAACTCATCTTGATTTTCACAGTGTCTGCACCCTCTTCACCTCAATGTTTCTCACCACTCTACCATTCTCACAAATTTTCTAAGTAGGTTCAGTAGCACCTTAGCCAAGAGGTCAGTGCATTTACACAGGTAGAAAAGGACTAACACACACAGGAACATACCAAAGCCTTTATGAAAATAGAAATATGGTGCATCTGTTTTTCTCTTATCCCCAAGAGCAGCCACTCAGAGGAAGAGATTTGCTTCTCACAAATGCACAGTGGCTGCCTCTGAGCAAGTATTATGTTCTAGGCACTTAGGAAGTCTGCCAGTGTGCTCTGGCATCTTTCCACACACCAAAGTTGTGTCCTGAAGTTCTACATACTGGTCTAATTTCCACATTCTCCCTAAGAAAATAGAGGCAAAGCCCTAACACACACCTACCATCAAAATCACTGACTCCAAAAATTTGCTAGCTGTCCTTTAAGTATGTTAGATAATACTCCTGTTAGCACTGACCCAAAACATGACTACGTGACCCAACATTCTTTAACACGTTCTTGCCCTGGGCCCATGAGTGAATCCTCATAGTTGTGTTCAGCCCTTCTCAAAAGTAACCAACTTTATGAAAGAATTAAGAGTGTATTTAGGTTTTCTGGGGATAAACAGTTATCAAACACCAGTAACGATCTATGGTTTCTATTTTTCCTTTTCCCCAAGCACACTTGCCTCTGCTGCAGTCTAACTTATTTTTCCAAAAAAACATTTTCATTACTCTGTGTTTAGTTTCTTCACCTTAAATTCATGAACTCTACTGTTTCCTAATAATTTTCAAATTACCCACACTCAGATCCTCAGTCCCTGCGACCACAGCCTGTGTTTGTGCTTACTGAAGTTGATGCCAATACCAAACTCTTACACACTCAAGTTAGACTAAGCCAGTCTAATACCTTACTGGTACAGAAACTGGTACTCTCCTCATTTTCAGTTGCATTTGCACACTGGTTCTTGTGCCAGTTTTAGCATTCATCTGATCCCCTGGAGAGGTGATTCAGCTCATTAAACCAGCAGAAAATAGATTTGTTGTTGTTTGGGCTTTTTGATGGGCTACTTTTCCTGCAGAGACAGATAAAAACACTTAGCCCATTTTGCCTAATTGCAGTCTTATGCTGGTTTACATCAGCTTAAATCGATCTAAATTGGAGTTGCCATCTTCATCTCTTCACCATCACCTCCACAAATGTGCCCCCTCCCTGGTGCCATTGCTCCCACTCCTGCTAACAGACAGTGAGCCAGCCAAGGGGGTCATAACCCACCGTATTCCCACTCACTGAAGCTTCACCTCAGACATGCAGACATACCTCTCGAGTCTACTCTGTTCCTTAGACGGCTATTTGTATTCAGCAGTTCATATACAGTAAATACTTTTGATTGTGTTACTATCTGCCATGTCATAAACTGATTATGTATAGATGCTTCCAATAAGCAGAAACATCACATTCTGAGGCAAAGGCAGAAGAGGAAATACAATGATTCCAAGTGACTATTCTTTATCACATGATTTTAGGCCTTTACAGAACTACTCCCATGATTTTATTCTCCCAAGCTTTTCACAATCAAACATTAATATTTAGCTTTATCTATTTTTTACAGTCCATTAATTTAATCTCATACCCTTTTACACAAGCATATTCTAAGGTTGCATTGTTTTTCATAGGTATTTTTGGGTTTGCTGCTTTTGATAGAGACAGGGTGCAAAGTCATGCAGGCATTGGCTCCCTTATCTCCCATACACAGCCCATAAGTAGAAAAGTTTTCTTTAGCCTAAAATCAATAATGTGATTGAGTCTAAATGCATGCTTTGAACTCTTCTCAGCAGACTGTTTCCTTACAACTTCATTTACAACACACAAAATGCATTATTAGGCTTTCTCTGCACTCAAGCTGAGGCCCATCACATGCTTCTCATTGGAGGAAGCTACACTTCAATTTCACAATAAATTCAAACAGTTTGGGGTGTTATCATTGACACCACACATGCCCTTTTGTGTTACTGAAGAGAGAAAAGCAAACAAAGACAAAACTCTTCATTTATATTTCTATGGTTTTTAGAGAAACAGCACTTACTAAAAATCTGCCAGGGTTGGTTTAACTTGCACACTATTTGCAAGTTCAACACCTCACTGTACTTTCATTGTTCTATTTAAATGACCAGGTGACAATAACACCACTCAGAGATACCATAAGCCCCAAAATAATATTCAGAACAGCTTTTTAAGTGCCATAAAATGTAAAAGCCACAGCTGAGAGCACTTTCAGCACATTGTGCGTAAACATAGTTCACATGATCTTTACCAGGCAGAGCTTGCAATCTAAACAGACAAGACACAGGAAATAATATCTTCATACTCACAAGACATAAAAATATTAAGTGTAGCTAACAGACAAACTACATTAGTAATTTTACAAAGATGCTCAGAGTAAGAAAGCAAACAGGAGTTTTCAATTCCCAAGTCTATATCCCACCCACAGTCCCCATGTCAAGCTTTCTTAGCTAGAAAACATCCACAGCATGAGAATCTTTTCCATAATGCAATGCTGCTTCCTTTACCATTAAGTTCTGTGAATTACAGTGACCTCCTCTTCTCTATGTCCCACTTGCCATGCAAGGGAAAAAGAAGGTTAGAAATCATCTGTCTGCAAATGTAGCTTCAAGTTACAGGTTTGAAAGAGATACACAGTGTTGTGTCCAACACGGTGGCATTTGTGGTACTGTGCAAATCCTAAATCAAAGGGGAAAGAAAGATCCATTTCTACTCAGATATTCCTTTATGCTGCCAACTGTCCTGCAGGACAATGGAGTGCTCTTACCTACTGAAGTAAACTGTGGCCTGTTTTACCATTACCAGAGGTATTTTTGATCTCAAAGCAGTTCCTAGAGTTTATGGAAAAAACATTCTTCTTTTATGGCTGAGAAGCGATTCAAATTTGAGAATGCCAAAGCATTATGAGCTCCAAGGTCTAGATACATACCGCAGATTTATTCTCACCCCCTAAAGGGGCAGACATCCTCAGAAAAACAACAGGGATATTGACAGGACAGGATCTATGTCATACTTTTACAGATCCTTAATCTGAATGGTTAGTAGATGAAGAACCCATGGCAAAATCCAGGGCAAGAAGTCAGCATACACATAAGCAGAAATCACTTCAGTTTGGCTCAGTCCATCACCACTGAAAAAAACCTAAGTCCCTTCTATTGCAAGCAGGGATCCCAATCTTCATGATTTTCTGTAGGGAAAGTCTGTACAGAAATAAACATTCTCAGTGCTCTGCATTTAAGTTCCACCAGTTGTTCCACACTTCAGCCCATACCAACCCCTGCACTGACTGAAGGATGTGCACTCATTGATGTAACCAAGCAGAAAAGCAGCAAATGCCTTTCACAGAAAGCTCTGCTGGCTCTCAGCTGGCTCATCTGTAGAAAAGTTGATGATATTGACATTAAGCTGATCACCATCTGTTTTCTTAGACACATTCAGATAGTGCAAGTGTATCTCGAGTCCAATCCTATACCCATTCACTCACACAGGCCACCTGGCTTTATTTGGTTTCCTCACAAGTCAAAAAAGATTTAGTCCCTTACACACTCATCATGAAGAAAAAAATGTAATATGATCTACTTACCTAAGGATTTCCTTCCGAGTGAAGAATGTGCAATCCTGTTAAAAACCAAAAAGTATTATTGTACTAGAGAAATATTGATAAAAAACCCTGCAAATAATCACTTTTCAACCTTTTGGAAGGAAATTGAGATCTGGCACTAAAACATTAAAGATTATATTTGTGTACCATCTGCTTTTGACTCAGAAACAATATGCACTGTAAAATAACTGAAATAGCCTAAGGACAGGGCTATCAGTGAAAATATATTGTTAATGTGAACCTTTAGGACAAAAAACCCCACCAAAACAAAGTACAACACAAAACCAACAGGTTGATGAAATACTTTTCCACTATGGAATGACCAGACCAGAAACAAAATTAAATCAAAAAGTAAGGTATAGGCCAAAAGCATTCAACAAACGGATCTAGAAAGCTATAAATAACAAATAGATAAAGGAAACTATATTCTAACTTGGAGTATTCCTCTATTAAAGACACCTGATTTAATAACAAAAATAATGTACTGATTTATTAGTTTCTGCTAATTTCTCTTTCTGCTAACAATGACTTTGCACCATGGTTACTCTGGCGAAGGCTGCAAACTCCCCAAGTTAGGAACATGGATAAAAGGAAAGTCCCTGCTCCAAACAGCAGGCAAACTGTTCAGGTTCCCCTGTGGTATCAACAGAAATTGAAATAACTTACTAGAATGCAAAGTAGAGCTGGCTGAACCTGAAAGGGCAGCTTACAGGCATTCAGTTGCATTCTAAATGGCTCTGTGGTGGGACTGCATTTACACTGCTTTAATATTCTCTTTATGAACATCTGGGTTTTGCTTGAAAAATTCACATACTTCACAAAAGAACCAGAATATGAGCAGTGAAATAGTTTGCATTTCATGTATTTCTACATCAGTCACAAAACCAATTGTATATTCAGGTGCTGTGAGGAACCATAATAATCAGCCCATCCCATTAACAGACATATTTCCCTAATCCCCACTGTTTTACTCAATATATATTTAGAGCATATTGTGCCCTGTGTTCAAAGCTAGGAACACTGGCAGCAATGAAATACTGGATGACCAGTTTAGAACATTGTTCAGGCCATAAATTCAGAGAATAGGCATCTTCTTGTCTTAGAACTGGTGGCTGATGAGAGCGTATATACATAGGGAGCAACAACCAAACTACAAAATTCTTCTTGATTATCCACCTTTCACAGGCGCATGTGATGTGACAAGGCATTTGCCCAAGAATTCAGCTTTTAAGAGTTTTCCTCCTTCAATGTAAACACATTTAAAATATATGGTATTTTTAAGCCTACAAGTGACAAGACAACATCATCAGACTTGTGAAGCTGTACATACAAGTAGTATGACTCCCCTAGTCCTGCTCTTCAGTCAACTGTTGGAAAAGCGTTTCTTTCCTAAGCTGACAATCATTCTGGCTAAATGCCTGCTTCTTCCAAGACAGGGAAAAGCAAGTGATCACAGCTAGCTGAAGCAGTCAAGCAGCTTGTCTCAGATACCCAGCTATGCTATCAGTCCAGCATGGTATCAATTATTGAGTTTGCTTGCTCTCCTCCATATAAAGCAGCAGGAGAAGCAGCTCCTCCTTCAGTGTATTGTGTAGCAGAATAGCATTACAAGGCACAATAGAAAGCACCTTGGGAGCTGCTGACACCGATGTCACATTGTCTGGAACTGCACAAAGTGAAATAGGAGCCAGCTGGTTAAGTCTTCATTAAGTCCAGCACACTCAACACTTACGGGCAAACTGTCGCTTAAGGATGCTTCACTTACTAACTAAAGGCAGGTGCAATCTCACAAATAATTGTCATGCCCTCAGCAGCAATCATTCTGTAATTATATAGGCTTGAGAAAACAGCACACACTGTTACTTAACTAGAAAGCTGACAGGTAACTGATATGCAAATGGAGATAAAGAAGTTACCCTTGGCCTTCCAGAAATCATGAAAAAATGCCATTGGAAGACACAAGAAGAGGTCAAACCATAAGCCTTTTTTGCTCAAGATCCACAGAATTTTGTTTTAATCTGAATCATTCTTTGACAAACACTATTGTCTGCTTTTTTCTTTTTTAATCAAACAATTTTTTTACTAATATAAGCCAAACCCCACTGATATCTGAAACCTTTATAACAGAAGTAGTTGCAAGTTGCCTGAGCACTGTTATTGACTGCAGTGCTCCAATTATGTTTGTCTGTTACATGGAACTGTGTGTCAGGGATGAGGGGATGTCAAAAAAATAGTACGGTGATTTCACAGACCACTTGCAGAGATCTTAAAGCTACTCAGGGTCAGAGCATCATGAATTAATTGTGACCTGGCCTATACTTTCGATCCACAGCAAAATTACAGACACCAATTAAGAAATACTTTTCCATTAAGAAGCCTGTCTGGTCTCAAATGGCTAATGTGAAAGCCACAGCTCCAAGTGATCTCTGAAAGGTAAGTCCAGCCATCCCTCTTGTTTCTCCCAGCTTCTTATTTCTGTGTCTTCCTTTACGCAGACTTCACACCAATGAGTAGTATATCTGCACCAGAGAATGCCAAAGGAAAGAACTAATGTGTCTGGAAACTAACCAAGCAAAAATGGATTCATTTCCAGCTTAGATCATTTCCTTTTAGTGGCTTAGAATATAGCATCGGTAGTGCTGGTACAAGAGATGAAGCTAAGACAAGTATCTATTCATGGCAGGAAAGAGAGAGGTGCAGGACTGCCCTAAGTTGGATTAAAGTCGTGATGGAGCAAGGGTCTAAATAGCATAATTACATTTTCTAGTTGCTGGAACTCCAGCAATTTAGTTCCAATTTAATTAAAGACTTTTGGCCAAAGAAACACGGAGGTGAATCATCCAATTTTCTTCTGGCTTCTTCATTCATACAGAAAATACACAGTGATGGGCAATAAATAGTAAACTAACATGTAAAATTAACTCCCTCAGAAGGAAAGGTGAAGTGGATCCTGGAAAGTATTTGTCATTTATGCATACAATGACATTCATCTTCCTTCAAGCCAGAGATATCATGGAACACATTTGCTATTATATGGACTGTATTTGAATTTATTATGAACTTAAAATCAACCTGTCTCTTCTGTCTGGACACTAAAGCCACTGGAAGTCCTGCTAGAAAAGCACAAACCAAATACTGGAAAACAATGCATGTTAGCAGTTTCCATTAATTCTCATCAATTCAAGATTCCTGGCAAGAATTTATCTGGAGAATCACTGCTTTTTATTTCTAATGCTATACAATGGTGTGAAGAACTTGTGCTTACAGGAGGCTCCTTGTGGGTTTTAGGTTATAGAGAATAGAGCTTTGCCTTCAAAGATCACCTACTCCAGCCCCTGGGAAAATACGTGCTCCTTTCTAAGATCAACTGTCCCACTCAGTCTGTCCTTGTACCCTTAATAATCAAGTTAATTACAAGTCTGACAAAGGATCACTGATGGTTTTTTAGAGGTAAGATACCACTTAAACCCATCTGCAATTATGCACTTAAACTTCCTTATGTCTAGCAAAGTGAATAAAACAAAGCAAACAGAAAAATTTCCATTGATTTCAGTGAGAGCATTAGCTTATATAATGGGACTTGGTTCTCAGATTTGGCCTTTAGGTGCTTAACTGCCTCTTAAAATGCTTTGCACAGAAAGACACAGATAGCTGGTGTTTTCAGGTACCTTGGATAGCTTTACTCCTGGCTGATAGTAACACTTTCTGCAAGTCACTCGACATAACTTGTACAGTAGGGTTAATGGTCTCTGCTCTTAGAATTTACTTTATAAAAAAGCTGAATGTGCACGCTGTTAGAGTTTAATTTTTTGATTTCCTATGTCAGATGAACACAGGTTTTGGACAAAACAGGAACAGAGTGAAATGGTGGCCCACTACCTTTTCTACTAGTCTGTAAGACTTGACTGCAGACTCCTAGCTCGGTTCTGCTTTATGTTTAGTTCTATAGTGATTTAAAGAATAACAACAAAAAAGAGATAGAGATACCTGTGCTGAGAATGCTGATACTTAACTTCATGTACAGTGTGCATACACAGCATAACAGGAGGCATGGCTCCAGAATCAGAACGCATTCATTTGTGCTGTTGGATAGATTGCCAATTTCAGTGCGCAGCATCAGCACCCAGTCTGTGAATGGCAGCAGAGTCCCCTGAACCGAAGATTATCGCTTACCACTTCTGGAAGCAAGTATCAGTGTGCATAAAGCACAACTTTCAATAAAACTGAGTTCACATAGATAAGCACAACACTTCTCTACAGAAAACAAGAAAAACAGGAGAAAGGAACAGTAGAAGGAAAGACTAGCAATGCTCAAGTACGCAAAGGTCCTGTGAAACAATATTTCTTAAATCCATTAGATGCATATTTTTCCTCTTAAACCCATTAGATGCATGTTTCTCTTCTAAGACAATACATATATATTCCCTTTTATACGTAATGTTTCATAAAGGCACATTTATTCTGGTCCTGCAACAGCTCCATTGGAAAGCTTTATAAACAATGAAATAATATAAAACAGTCTTAGCAACACAAAAATCACTCTAAATTAGAAAAACAGTCTCAAACAAAAGCCAGCAACCCACAGATAAAGTAAACCAGTGACTAACAGGAATATCCTCAAGGCAAGACAGATTAGATCCAGGTAGCTAGCTGACTAAACAGCTTTTAAAAAATAAGAAGTACTGAATACTGAAGCATTGTAGATGTTGATATCTTAAATTCATAGAATCATTGAAAAGTCTGGGTTGGAAGGGACCTTCAAAGGTCTTCTAGTCTAACCCCTCCGTGCAATGAGCAGGGACATCTTCAACTAGATCAGGTTGCCCACAGCCACATCCAGCCTGGCCTTGAAGGTTTCCAGGGATGGTGCATTCACCACCTCTCTGGGCAACCTGTGCCAATATTTTACCACCCTCGTAAAGACTTTTCTCCTCACATCCAGCCTGAATCTCCCCTTTTACTTTAAAACCCATCACTCCATATCCTATCACAACAGGCCCTGCTAAAAACTCTTTGA